AGAGCTAATAGGCAGATGGTGATGAGGATTGAGTCCATAAGTAGAGGGCTGAGAGAGGTGCCTTGTATCTCTGGGACCTTTGATATAAACTATTTCATGTCCATATTGGACATCCTCAGGCCTCTCAGTTCTACCTATGTATTTCATCCCCACAATCCACAGGAGAAGATGAAAATGGAAGTCCTGGTCAACTATTCTCTTTCAGTTCCCAATCTGCTCTGTCTTTTCTCACTCTTTGTTTTGGATTTTTAAAAAATTTCCCTGGCCTGGTTGCCATCCGTATGCAATTTGGATCCCATAATTGATTGCTTATATTTCTTTCAACACTCTTAATCCCTTGCCTTTTGACCCTTCCTTCTATCTATCAACTTCTAAACCTAAATGAATCCTACCATCCATTTTATCCTACACCTAACATCACTCTGATTCATTCTCTTGTTGCAAATTTCTTTCCCCTCATTCTGTCACACCACCTGAAACCTTTGTTCCAGGATTCAACAAACCCTCACATTCTCAGTCTTTTCACTAACCCTCCACTTACTGCCTAACTGAAACCTGTCTACCTTAAGAGGATACCACTGGAATTATGCCCCTGCTTGTAGGAGGTTAATTCTCCACCTCCATCTTCCACAGGTCCAGAGGCAGCACTAGCCCTTTGTAGCACCCTGTCACTTGCAGGTTGTCATCCTTCTACTTTCAAACTTAAGACTCAAAATGTGAAGGTACAATATGTCTGGTTATGTCATGCTCTTCTCCTACTTGATACTAGAGTTGAAATATCTGTTTTGCAATCTCTCTCTTCACCCCAACACCTGCAATCATACTAGCTACCTTAACACTAGACAAATAACCTAACACCCTAGGCTCAGTGTTCTTTGCCCTAACCAAGCCTTCATGCCATTTCAGCAACACCCACACCCTTGACCTTGCCCACTCGACCTGCTTTACTGAAGGAAACTCAGGCTTTAATATCCCACTCTTGAATCCCTACCCCTCCTCCAGCTTAATCAAGCATCATAGAATTACTGCTGAAATACACACCTTCTTTGAAATCACTGAGGCCTCATCTTCCAAACATTCTATACTTTCCAGATTTATCTTCCTGGCCTGGTTTCCTTCCTTATGCAATTTGGATCCCATAATTGATTGCTTAAATTTCTTTCAACACTCTTAATCCCTTGCCTTTTGACCTTTCCATCTAGCTATCAACTTCTAAACCTGAATCAATCCTACCATCCATTTTCTCCTACACCTAACCTATGAGCATTGCTGAAGGAAACTGTACAAATGTGCATGCTACTCTTACTAAAATTCATATTTTAAAATTCACCCAGGTGAAGGGGGCTCCCGCCTGAAGGGGAAAGTGCCCTCTACCATAACTGCAGTGGTATAAGATCTCCCCCTGATACCCAGGTGGGAGTGGTCTCCTGCCTTGAGATGCAAGTCCCCACTACTCTGGCTGCAGGGGTATAAAAGCTTCACCCCCACCACACACAGGTGGCAGGGATCTCCCACCTGGAGGGGAGAGTGCCCTCTACACTGGTTGCTGCGTATAGGAGTTCCCCTGACAACAGGTGTCAAGGGTCTCCAGCCTGGAGGGTAGAGCCCTCTGTACCCTGCCTGTGGCTGTATAGGTGCTCCTCAGGACACCCAGGTGGAAGGAGTCTCACGCCTGGAAGGGCGAGTCACCTCTACCCTGGCTGAGGCAGTATAAGAGCTCCCCTGACACCCACGTGGGAGGGGTCTCCCGCCTGAAGGGGCGAGTCCACTCTACTCCTGCTGTGGCAATATATAAGCTACCCTGACACACAGGTAGAAGGGGTCTCAGGCCTTGAGCGGGGAGTCCCCTGTATCCTGGCTGCAGCGGTATACAAGCTCACCCCACACACACAGGTAGAAGGGGTCTCCCGCCTGGAAGAACGAGAGTCCACTCTACTTTGGCTGGTGCCATATAAGAGATTCCAGGACACCCAGGTGGGAGAAGTCTCCAGGCTGGCGGGGCGAGTGTACTCTACCCTGGCTGCAGTGGTAAATGAGCTCCCCTCTACACCCAAGTTGGAGGGGTCTTTGCCTGGAGAGGCGAATCCCCTTTAAATTGGCTGCAGTGGTATACAAGTTCCCCGCAACTCAGGTGGGAGAGGTCTCCCTCCTGGGGGTGCAAATCCCCTCTACCTTGGTTGGGGTGTTAGCTCCACTGACACCCAGTTGGGAGGAGTCTCCTGCCTGGAGAGGCAAGTCCCCTCTACCCTCCTTGTGGAGGTATATGAGTTCCCCCAGACACTCAGGTGAAAGGGGTCTCCCACCAGGAGTGGTGAGTACCTGTTACCCTGGCTGCAGCTCTATAGGAGCCCCCATACAAACCCAGATGAGAGGGGTCTCTTGCCTAGTGGGGTGAGCCCTGCTACTCTGGCTGCACCTAGATATGAGCTCCCCCTGACACCCAGGTGAAAGGGGTATCCCACCTGGAGGGGCGAGTGCCTGCTACCCTGGCTGCAGCTGTACACAAGCCCCCTACCACCACCACTGGGCACCCAGGTGGAAGGGTTCTCATGACTGTAGGGATGAGTCCCCTCTACATGGGCTGAGGCAGAATACAGGCTAGCCTGTGTGGGAGGCCAACCTTAGTGGTGACTGAGTTACACTCCCCAGCTGGGTGTTGAGGCGCTCAGTCACAGAAATGGGTGTGTCTTGCTACAGCCACATGGGGGAAGCTATGCTCACCTGTTCCTTTGTAATATAACCCCTTGCCCTGTTTAGGATAGAATCTTCCATGGAAGTGCCTTGTGTGTGTCCCTCCTCTTACTGTGCCCTTGGGTGTGGCCTAGCCAGGTGTCAGTCAACCTGCTGACAGTGGACATCATGAAGATAGACTCAGCCCCCTGAAACCTGACCCTTTGCCTCATTTGAATAGCTTCTCCTCAATAAAAGGGATCAGTGCATGCTCTCTCTCTCTCTCTTTCTGCAGACCCTTAAGGTCAGAGGAGCCTTCACAGCAACCCCAAAGAAAAAGGTATTTGTGTCTCTTGTGTGGTTATTTCATGCACCCCAGTTAGCCCAGTTTAACTAGAGTGACCCCTGAGCCTTTTAGTAGCGAGAACAGAAACCCGGCAATTGGCGTCCAATGTGGGTCAAAAGGTCTGCGTCTTTAAGCCGCTGAGACAAAAGCGACAAATTCTGGCTCCTAAGGGGACTCCAATTTGAATATTAAAGAAAGTGAGTGAAGTTGAAAGTTCTCTCCAGAAGTTAAGCATGCTTAGGATTGCAGAGTATTGTGGGCAAAATTGTGGAAAGTAAGTGAATTAGACAAATGGAAAATCTGTGACATTAAAATTTTTAATATTGGGGTTTAATTGTAGAGACTCTAAATAAATATAGTTATTAAAATGATTGATGGGCTATGTTGTTGAGTTGAGTCCTCTCCATGGAAAGCGCACTTTTGTGGATTTTTTTTAAAATTGTTTTTATAAATCTTTAAAAGATTTTTTTGGGGACTAGGATTGTTGCTCAGTGGTAGAGTGCTTGCCTAGCATGGGCGGAACCTAAGTTCGATCCTCAGCATCACATTAAAAAAAAAAAAAAAAAAAAAAAGAGAGAGAGAATTTTTTTGGCCTTTATGTTCTAGAAGTGTAAGGGTCCGGCGAATGTCGGAGGAAGAGACCACCAAGAAACCCACTCATGCAACAGCAAAAGGGGGTTTATTGAAGATCCAGCGCGTTGGGGCTCCATCCTCACTCAAGAAGGGAGAGCAGCCCAGAGCCCCGAGCAGGGGCTGAGCAGTGCTTAAGTACACTTTTTTAGGGAGGGCAGGGACTTTACATACATCACAGTCCCCTTTAACAAATCACCATACACCACTGGAAAATCAAACAACAATTCTCAAACATGATTAGTACATTCATTGGTGGGAACAGGTCGGGCTGGAGTGATAGGTCAGTCCTAAGGAGGGGGATACATTCAAACTGATTGGTTTGGGCCCTGAGGTGCCTACTTGCCAAGCTGCACAGGGTCCAGGTTGTTAAACAACTAAGTGGTCAGGGGGAATTATCTAATGGGCAATCCCAGGAATTGTCCTAACAGCTACAGGAATTTCAGGCTTTGAGTGTAGCTTAGAGACTTAACAATACCTGGTCCTTTACATTTTAACTCAGGCTTTGCAGCTTAGAAACTTTACCCTTTCATTTCCCACTCCCTTTTTCTGACTACTTTTAATCTTAAAAGTAATGAATCGTAATTATTGGGGACTCTCATTTTTCATCTCTGACAGTGGAGCATATTGCTGTCTGATTACCACGAGTTGTCCTGCGTTTCCTGGAATCATTTTCAGCATGGCCTCCATTTTAGATTTCACTCGGTATTAGACCCTGATTTACCTCACTATACTGATTACCTAACTTTAAATCTGGCTTCATTCCCCCCTCTTATTTGGGAACCCCAAATAATAATAAAAAAAAAAATAAGTTGCCGGAATGTTCCTGTGCAGCCAAGTCTCCTGGTTGTTGTTCCCCCAGTGTGGAAACAGTTAACAGGGTCACTCCGTTTATGGCTGCCAACTTAGCTTCCTCATCTGCCAGTCTGTTTCCAACTGCCACGGGGTCAGGGGTTGTTCCCCTTCTGGTGCCCCTGACAGTGCACTATAGCTAGTTCTTTAGGGCCTTTTACTGCGGAGAGAAGGTGGAGGATCTCATCTTTGTTCTTTATCTCCTTTCTGGTGGAGGTTAATATCCCCCTTTGCTGGTAAATAGCCCCGGGCACATGAGCAGTGGCAAATGCATAGCGGCTATCAGTGTATATGGTGGCCCTTTTGCCTGTTGCTATTTCCAGTGCTTTCGTAAGGGCAATTAGTTCTGCTTTTTGAGCTGATGCCCCTTCTGGGAGGCCAGAGGACCAGATGACATTTGTTTTGCTAACTACTGCTGCTGCAGCCCGCCGCTTACTCTCTTGGAGGAAGCTGCTCCTGTCCATAATCCATAGGACCTCAGGGCAAGGCAGTGGCTGATCCTTTAGGTCTCCTCTGCCAGTATGTGTTGACAATCATGAGCAACGAGTCCTGATGATTCTTCTGGCAGCAATGTAGCCGGGTTGAGTGGAGCAGGGGGTCCCAGCGTTATTCTGTAGTTCTCCCTGTTGTTGGCTGCCAGCAGCAGATCATCCACATATTGGAGTAGGGTGACTTCAGGGTGTGCAGTTCTGAAGTCATTGAGGTCCCTGTGGAGAGCTTCATCAAAGAGAGTGGGAGAGTTTTTGAACCCCTGTGGGAGTCTAGTCCAGGTTAGTTGGCCAGATGTTCCTGTTTCTGGGTCTATCCACTCGAAAGCAAACAACAACTGACTGTCCTTATGCAGGGGCAAGCAGAAGAAAGCATCTTTTAAGTCCAGCACAGTGTACTATTTCCGCTCCGGATTCAGAGTGCTAAGCAAATTATATGGATTAGGTACCGTGGGGTGAATGTCCTGCACTCTGTTGTTGATCTCTCTTAGGTCTTGAACAGGACAGTAGTCACCAGTTCCTGGTTTTCTTACTGGTAGCAGGGGGGGGGGGATTCCAGGCTGACTGACAGGGCCTTAGGACCCCAAGAGCCAGGTATTTCTGAATATGGGGCCGTATCCCCTCCCTAGCTTCTTTGCTTAAAGGATATTGTTTAACACTGATTGGAGAGGCAGAGGCTTTCAATTCTACTACTATTGGAGGTTGTTTTATGGCTAGACCTAACCCAGCAGTTTCTGCCCAGGCATCAGGATAATTTTTTATCCATTTCTGGGGTAGATTACCTGTTTGATCAGTCCCAGGGGCCGTGAAGAGTTGATGTTCATCTTCTACTGACATAGTCAAAGCCATGACTATGGGGGTTTTACTGAAGGATTTAGAAATTCCACTTGGGGACCATCAGGGTTAAAGGTTATTTTAGCCTGGAGCTTGGTGAGTAGATCCCTGCCCATCAATGGGGCTGGGCATTCTGGGATTACTAGGAAAGAGTGGTGGACTTTTCCCCTTCCTAGGTCCATAGTTCTCTTTGTTGTCCAAGCCAGATATTTATTGCCATTAGCCCCTTGAACTAAGGATCTTTTATTAGATAGAAGGCCCAGTGGGGTCTTTAGGGCTGAATATACTGCTCCTGTATCTACTTCAAAGGTCACTGGGGTCCCCTCCACTTCAAATGTTACCCTGAGCTCAGGGAGGGGATCCGAGCCCTGACTTTCTTAGTCATCTTCTAGAGTTAGCATGACAGGCTGGCATGGCTGCCTCTTTTTGGGGCACTCTTTGGCCCAGTGTCCTTTTTCTTTACAGTAGGCACATTGATCCGAGGCCAGGGGCAGCTTTTGGCGTGGGCCCAGGTATCCCTTCCTGACTTCCTGCTTTTTAACTTCTGGTCTATCTGCGGCTGCGACCAGGACCTTTGCCAATGCTTTAGTCTGCCTTTTTCTCCTTTCATCTTCCTTTTGTTCTCTCTTATAATATACTTTCTCAACTTCTCTGACTAAATCTCTTAAGGTCATATCTTGTAATCCATCTAAACGTTGTAACTTTTTCTTAATATCCAGGGCAGCCTGCCCAATAAAAGCCATTGCAACAGATGCCTTTTGGTCCTCTGCCTGAGGATCAAAGGGAGTATATCTCCTATATGCTTCCATAATTCTCTCCAGAAACCTCAAGGGAGATTCATTAGTCCCCTGGATAATCTCTCTTACCTTGGCCAAATTAGTTGGCCACCTGGCGGCCGCTCTGACACCCACTATAAGAGCCCGGCGATAAGTGGACAGATGCTCCCTACCTTCAAAGGTGTTAGGGTCCCAGTTGGGTCAGTTCGAGGGGAAGCCAGCTTCAATGATGATGAGAAGTTGAGTTGGCCTCCCATCTGGTCTGATAATATTCTTTCTGGCGTCCAGGAGGATTCTCTCCCATTCCTTTGTTGTGAAGAGTGTCCCCAGGAGTTGTTGGCAGTCATCCCAAGTGGGCTGGTGTGAGAACATCAGCGACTCGACTAACCCTGTAAGTCGGGTGGGGGAAGGGGTGGGAGTGGGGGCTGGGACAAGGAAAGGCTTCACCCATGTGGGAGGAAATTCACAGAGGTCCTGCCAGATTAAGATATATGGCTGTTGATCTGGATGGCCATGCGGCCCCGGCTGAAAGACAATATCTCTGACTTTGCAGATTAAAGGGATGTGGAAGGATCCTTCTGTGTTCCATTCAACTCTGAGGGTGGGCCATTCTGAAGCGCAGAGAGTCTGCCAGGTCTGGCGTTTCACTGAAAAAGAAAGATTCTGGGCCCTTGAGCGGACATCTGTCAAATAATCAAGGGTCAGGGACAGAGGCATGGAATGGCTTTGTCCCATAATGGGAGTTACTCAGACAGAGACAGGGACAATATAAACGTGACACAGACAAGGACAAACAGTAAACGTTTAACACAAGTACCCTAAAGGCAGACAGTAAACTCAACACGAGACAATGAACAAAACTAAGTAGCCGGCAGAACCTGATGGGTTGACAGCAGAGTCACTGAATACACCTGAGTTGAGGGCGCTTCCGTCCCCCAGTTTCCCGAGTCCTCCAAGGTGTCCCTTGGGGACGTGGCCTGTGGCTTCAGGACACGTCTGTCCACCACCACCGGGGGGGGGGGGGGGGAACTCACGCTCTCCGCCAGCAGCCACTCTGCCAACCCTTAAACCGAAACTCCGAGTGATCGCAAGGAAAAGGGAAAAAAAAAGGCGCCCTAATTACCCCTAGAGGAGTCCGTTGGGGTCTCCTTGTCCGGCACTGTGGGATTCCCGGCCAACGCACCAAATGTAAGGGTCCGGTGAACGTCGGAGGAAGAGACCACCAAGAGACCGGCTCATGCAACAGCAAAAGGGGGTTTATTGAGGATCCAGCGTGCTGGGGCTCCGTGCTCACTCAAGAAGGGAGAGCGGCCCAGAGCCCGGAGCAGGGGTTGAGCAGTGCTTAAGTACACTTTTTTTAGGGAGGGCAGGGACTTTACATACATCACGTCCCCTTTAACAAATCACCATACACCGCCGGAAAATCAAACAACAATTCTCAAACATGATTAGTACATTCATTGGTGGGAACAGTTCGGGCTGGAGTGATAGGTCAGTCCTAAGGAGGGGGATATATTCAAACTGATTGGTTTGGGCCCTGAGGTGTTACTTGCCAAGCTGCACAGGGTCCAGGTTGTTAAACAACTAAGTGGTCAGGGGGAATTATCTAATGGGCAGTCCCTGGAATTATCCTAAGAGCTACAGGAACTTCAGGCTTTGAGTGTAGCTTAGAAACTTAACAATACCTGGTCCTTTACATTTTAACTCAGGCTTTGCAGCTTAGAAACTTTACCCTTTCAGAAGTTTGTGCTAGGAGAGTGAGAAAAAGGGAGATAAAGTGTGATGTTTACCTGGAGAGAAATAAGTTTCAATTTTCTATTGTTTTTGTCAATACTCAGAAAGTATGTATGGACCTTTTTACTACATGATTGTCCTGTGAATCAGAATGGATGTAACTCAGCCACTGGGGACAAGAGACTTTAGCCACTGCTGCTTGCTGCTTGCTATGGGGTCCTAGCCCATGCAGCCAGCAGTGCTTTTAACCCTTGAATTACTTGACCTAAATGCCAAACACAGACTAACTTAAGATCTGATGGTAATGCTAGCATTTGCTGCTAAAAAACCTTTGGAGCACCCACGTGCCACAGAAAAAAAGTGCAGGATGTACAGGAGCTGCAACCGCAGGTCGCAGAGACAGAACAAGCTGCTACTACAGTAGGATCTTGGCCAGGCAGGGGAAAATGCAGACAAAATCAAACAAAATGCAATCGGCTAGGAAAACTTGGGGAAATTTTGCCCCCGACAATGGGCAGGGGACTCCACATTGTTTGCATCACCATGGTAACCAAAGGGTGCCTGGCTGGAAGAGCGGGCTTCCTGGTCCCACCTCCCACACTTTCACGGGCTTCTGATTAGTTCTTCCACAGTCACTCAGACAGGATTTCCAGTCTTGCCTTCCAGCCACTAACCTGTACTACTGTGTTTCAGATTTCTACCAGAGCTGTTCAGAGCCTCTATTTTAAAAAATGCCTACCTGTAAATGCTAACGAAAGATATCTTTTTCAGACAAAATTTAATTCCACAGGTTTCTATGTTGCAGTACTAAATTTAAGTTAGTTGTGAGTTAAATAACCTGACTTTTATCTATAGTTGTGTTACTAAATAATGCTCTATTGGAGAGATATCAAACATGCTTCTTTATATTTTACTTTTAATTTTGGAGGTTATGAGGATGATTTTGCTCACCACAAGAACAAAGCCGGCAATGTTCCTGTGATGACCAAAAAATCCTTATTCTCATTCCTAACTATAAAAAATAAATATGTATACACAAGGATCTTATTTCAGTTACATCAAGTGACATCACATAGAAGAGTGAACTCCTATTGAAAAATAAATTAAAATGGATCCAAATATTTTAAGAACATGTGGTTACATAAATTTAATACAATTATAAGTTATGTTCTTATTCTTAATATATATTTTTTAGATATTTAGATAACCTACATTTGTTAATCTATAAAATAATTAGCACATGCCTAATTGATTCGTTAATATATATTTGCCAAATTGTTTTTCTTCAACAGAAAACCCATAATTTATATTTTATATTTACATTTATCAGATACTCTGCCTTTTCAGTTACACATATTTGAGATAAATGTGTTTACTATAAATTTGCTTTTAAGTAAAAATACAATCTTCAAGTAGTTTCTAATTCTCAAAGTTACTGTTCAAACTCATAAGATGATAAATAATTATAATTATGTCTACAAAATATCTAAGGATTTTAAC